GGAGATTTCAATTCCCACCAAGAAAATCCATGGCTGTTTTTGACTGCTGTGTATTTTAGTGTGCTATTTTCTTAACTGTCCCAAGTACGTTTCTATGTTGTATAAATAAACGAGAGTTGTGTGCTTGATTGTTCTGTTATTGCTGGGTGTTTGTAGAATATACTTTCCACGCTTACCAAGACTTCTGTTTACAGCTTGGGTTTCAAGGTAGCCTATCGGAACGCTGGTAAAAGTCTCCTTCGCGTTTATCGACTAAGGCAAACTCTTAATAGCCTCAAGCATAATAAGTGACGAACCTATCAGTGGCGGCTGTTCTTTTGAAAATATGGATCCTGCCAAACTTGAATTATTACCTGAGCAGCAGCTGAAACTGATACAGATGTTGACAGACATGAAGATTTCTCCTTCCACACAGCCCAGCTCATCTAATGCAACCACAGCTCCATCGGTCGACGGCATCGCAAATAGCATAGCTGAATTTCATTATGATCCTGATGCAAATGTCACTTTTGACATGTGGTTACGGCGTTATGAAGATTTGTTTAAATTTGATGATGATGCTTGGAAGGTTCGGCTGCTACTTCGAAAGTTGGGCGCAAGTGAGCTGGATAAGTACTGCAATTTGATCCTGCCTTTGAACTCTCGAGATTGTTCATTTTCTGAGATTGTTCAGACTTTAAGCTAACACTTTGGCGATAACTCGTCACTGTTTATTACTCGATATCGATGTTTGAAGCTAATTATGAACGAAGATGATGACTGTCTTACGCACGTGGGCATGGTCAACCGTGAATGCGAACGCTTTCGGTTGAAGTCTTTGTCGGAAGATCAGTTCAAAGCCCTTATCCTCATCTGCAGCCTCCAGTCGAGTAAGTTCAGTGATATTAGAACAAGGCTACTAAGTCGTTTGGAGAAAGATCCGAAGCTTACGCTAAGTGAAATGGCTCATGACTACCAACGTCTTGCTAACCTACAACGAGACTCGACTATAGTTCAGAGTGGTAGTTCAGGCCGATATGAAATTCATTTGGTACAGCAGCCACCTAATCATAATCAGACTGCCCATGCTACACACAGTTCATCCCGCCCCAACTCTGCCTGAAAATCCAAAGTGAATCACCCTTCTGCTTCTTGGCACTGCGGCTCATGTCACTATGTACGGAACTGCCCATTTAGGCAGCATAGATGCAGGAAGTGCAAAGTCATCGTGTGGTGCTGTGGTGCGAACTACTCACAAGTAGTATATAACGTGAGTGTCAACGTAAAGTCTGGTAGCATAATATGGGGGGAAGATCAAGAAAGGAAGAGTTAGAAAACAATGGAATTTGTATGAAATGCATGAATAGTGACAATGGATTGATGTTTGGCAACAGGAACAGTCCAGTTCCATAGGATGAACTGATCTTTTGCAAATGAACGATTTACGATATACTTTTCCGATTTTACTGAGTAACTCTGTAATTTTCGGTTGCCCCACCTGTGTTCTCATTCACTACAATCGGTCATAAAGATGGCTTTTGCATACAGAAATAGCCAAACCGATCCAGAAGTGATAAGAAGCCTGTTCCTAGATCCAGTACCAATGCATTGAGCCTAATATCTTCCTGCCAAAGCTCATCACCAGTTCAGAGGAAATTTAAAACTCTTATTATTAACGACCATTTGTTTAGATTTCGAATAAATACTGCATCTGATGTCACTATCCTCTCACGCAAAAATTGGATCAAATTGGGTAGCCCTGCAGCACATAACACAGAATCCTCGTACAGCATGTGGTAATTATCTTCGTCTGTTAGGACAATAGGAACGTAAAGTTGCTTTCCGAGATTCGTCATTTACTGGGATTGGTTCGACTAGCTAAAATTGGCTGATGTCCCGTTAAATACCATATGCCACCTGGTATCACAACCGCAGGACCCCAAAGCATATATGAGGAAGCTGATGACAGAGTTTTCAACCATTTTTGAACCTGGATTGGGTCGATGCACTGCCATAAAAGCAACACTTCGGCTGAAACATGGGGCTAAGCCTGCTTTTCGTCCAAAGAGACCCGTACCTTATGCATCATTAGCAACAGTAGATGAAGAGCTTGATCGCCTTCAAAGACAAGGAGATATTAATCCCATTCCGTCAAAAAGTAACTTGCAAAAGCAACGCTAACCAGAAAAAGTAAACGCTAACTGTATTTGAAATAAATATTTAACTTAGTAGAACTATTATTAGGAGAGGTAGTAGTACACATGATTAGTGTAGTTGTTGCATTCTCGGCAGCAGTAAAGACGCAGTTTTATGCGTTGGTTACATATATAATATTCTGCCATCGAAATCGTTATCATTATTTGGCAAAGTACAATATTCATTAGAAATAGTTCGATCTAAAGAAAACAGATGAGATTTCTAACTAATTAATCCGGTGTAAATATTCATTGTACCTTTGTCGACTCTATTAGATAATCAACGTTCACGCAAGTCAATGTAACTTAGTATTAGTCAACAGTACAGTGAAACTCAATACACATTCCATGCATTTATGTCAGTCTGTTGTTTTTTTCTCATCCAAGGTGAAATCAGACTATGATCGATAAATCAAACACAAATCATCATGATTGGACGATAAATGGATAAACAATAGACATGAGCACAGATTAGGTTCTTCTATGTAACCATCCTACATACTTCAGAAGAAGTAATCACACAAAATCTTCAAAGACTAATTATAGATCAAATTCCTTATAAACAACTTTCGTTCTTTTTCATCATCGTGAAAAATATCAGTGTATTGTCTGTGTGTAATCTGGCATGATCAACTAATTTGTTAGCTAATAAGTAAAGTCAGTCTAATGAAAAAAGAATGTAATCTGTTTGTTTCTTTTGAAAATGATAATTGTTCAGACCTTATTCAAGATTTTTGGAGCTTAGCTGAAATCAGCTTTTCTATATTTTGATCATGAGAATTCAACATCAAATAAGGTGGTAGTTGAAGGAGTAATCGTTCGATTGCCATATCTATCGAAAATCAGTCTCTGATCTCGTTTGATCATTTTCAGAAAAATAGTTAGCTTTGATGAATAAACATTTGTGTTCTGTTTATTTATAAGCCTCTTAAAATTACTCTTGTAGACTCTTATTGTTTTCTGCCGTTAGCGAGCGCGAATAAACATTTAGGATAAGGTATAAATTGAGCGAACTCATCTCATTGAACAGCTTCTCTTTAAAAATACGCTGACTGAAAAAATAATTCAAACCATCTAGGCTCTGCCCTGAGAGTTAGGACATCTCCATTCAGAAGAGTTTTATGATAAAAGCTGAATTCTATTACAAATCACAAGAGTTGTGTCCCTTCTAGCAACCAAAGAATTTTCGCATTATGTGTAATACCAGGCTAGTCATCCAATATGTTACAGCCAGGAAGTGATACAACTTCAAATTGCTTGTAATCAGTGTAACACTTAGAATGTTTGTTGGACTTCATAGAATAGTTTTAGGAATGTTGCTGTTAGAATTAATCACACAAATATTTAGAAGACTAAATAGTTATTATATTCCTACTGACTAACTAATATCCTTTCTGTTTATTCATCACTGTTGGCGAAATTCATTTCATTCACTCTTTACAGTCGAGCCTAATCCGCGAATCTTTATCTTATACGGGAAGTTAAGATTTTGAGAATGACTGTAATCCATTTTTTTTCCTATAAACTGATACATATAAAAACAATTGAATCTTTTTTATCATAAATCTGTAAACATTCCATCGTCATTCAATTCATACCTATTGGTGATTCAACTAGGATGATTTTCGAATTTTACTTATGAAAATCCAGCATACAACATTGTGGTAGATGGTGTAGTATTAATTGGTTTTCTAAATCTTTCAAGTTCACCATCTCAGATACCGGTTTTCTCAGATTCGCATAAAACATCAATTGAAAGCTCAGTAAATCGTTTAAGGAGACAATAGAAACAAATACAAACAATCAATAAAAATCAGATTATCGGTTGACTTGAAGTTAATTCAAACGAGAAGCGTTTTCTGACTGACAAAATCAATTTCAATGACTGTCTATATGATTAGCAGTAATTCTGAAATCTATCATTCACATCACAATGAAAGAAGTCTGGATATGGTGCATATTTTACCACAAAATGTTTACCAAACATTGTTAACCAACGTGTTTCATGATGATTGTTACGTCCAATTTTTAGCTCCTTCCTGTTTTTAAGTACGGTGTGTCGATCTATTTGCAATTCACGAACCCAAATAGACAACAAAACGAAACTCAAAAGTACGTACCAAACTTTATTCCTAATTCACAGATAATCGACCAAAATGTCGTTCGTCAATTGCAAATAGACGACCAATGTCGTTATAACAACAATAATCACAATAATTACAATTACCTTCAATTTTGTAGGTTCCTGGAGCAAAAAACTGTAAACGAACAAACCAAGACAATCAGGAGTCCAAAATGGCCGAAAATAATAGTTCAAACAAGTTCAAAAGTTAAGTAAAACAAATATACTAAAAAAACACAGTGAAATTAATGATATTTATATAAAGGTTTTATTCAGCCAAATGTCTTTATTTCTCCCGTAACAATGATGTTTTGCTCTTTTCATTGATCTGTAACTTCACTACATAGACCTAAAGTTATCTCTATTCACCTTATCATATAACGTAATCTTATTCTTACAAATTCAATTTCCCCCCTTGACAATCACCTACTAGTACACACACAACCTCTCCCACGCAAAGTGTAACCGGTTTTAACAGTGATATCCAATCATTTTGAAGAGATTTGGAGTTGACTGACTGATAGTTGTTCATTTTACTTAATAGAATATCATTATTTTTTGTCCAAACACAACACTTATTTCACGGTTTGAAAAGTATATAAATAGAAACAAATAAATGATGAGAGATTGAAGCAACAACTGCGCTATCCAAACAACTTGGTTGTCTAAAGCTTCTTTACGCAACGAATTCATATCGGAACAGAATGAAGAGACCAGATTCTGTTGTGTTGTTTCTTAACAACCAAGAAGAACAACAGCAGAGCGTCAACAAAGCAAATGCTGTTCAGGAAAACGGCGTTGATGAATATTTGAAGGACTTCGACATGATTTCCACAGAAAAAAAGAGCGCAATCAATCATACGTCAAAGTCAATCGTGAATGAATCCAAGTTAGAGGGTCGTCTACTCACACGTGAAGATTTAATAAACTTGGACAAAAATGAACCTCATTGGAAATATATTCGAATTGGAACGTTAATTGCGTTTGCGACTGTATTCTTCGGTCTTTTAGCAGCATGTATTGCATACATGAGTTTTGGGCCGAAATGTCCATCTGTGCCCAAATTACCATTCTGGAAATCGTCAGTTGGTTACTGGTTAGATGTATTTGCGTTTAAAGATTCGTCTGGCGATTTAGTTGGTGACCTCAAAGGTAATGTATTTAAGCGTAAACTTACATCCATTCAAATGTTATATATCTGTTTAGGTCTCATATCTGAAGTTGACTATATCAAAAGTGTGATCGGTGCCGGATTTGTGATTTTGGGTCCCATTACAAAAGGCTTTTACACTAATTCATACGATATGCTAGGATTGGTTGAAGATTATGAGCGATTAGATGAGGCTGTCGGCACAATGGGGGATTTTCGTGTCCTTTTAAAAACATTTCATAAGAAGGGTGTGAAAGTTGTCCTGACATTCAACTTCAATGCCATATCCATCAATCATAAGTGGATTGGAGAAAACAAAGTCAAGCTGAAGTCATTCGAAGATCCCTACAACAATAAGGTGAAATCATTGTGTTCATTCCTTAATTTCCTTATATTTTATTTACATTAAGATATCACGTTACGAAAAACCAATCGATGTAGATATCGATGGCAAGAAATACTATTCGGTTTTCGGATCACCTAATGTCGACCTAGATTTGACTGATCCCGATACTCAGAAACAGATAATTGTAAGTTTCAGCGAATACTTTTGCAACAATTGTGTTCACTAGAATGTGATCAACATGTGGATGAAAGAAGGAATTGATGGAATTCTTCTGGATAATGCTGCATTTTTTGTTGAAGAAGAAGAAAATGTGCAAAACAAAGTCAGTTGATGGAATTTTAATTAATAATCATATGATTTTTTATTTGTCTTCTCCTAATCCATGATTCCTACTTTCTTTCATATCTAGTCTGATTCCGGATGGTTTGGATACTGTCCAAATTCTCAGTTGTACAGAAACGGGAGTGTAGAATTTGTCAAAGCTGTCAAACAGGAAATGGTCAATTGGATTGAGGAAAGTGGCAAAGATAAGTGAGTCTCTCCATGATAATTACCGTGAAATAATTTTGTCCACTGGATCTCATTGGTTACGTTACACGCAGGGCATTGTAAGAGCTTACAGTGCAATAAAACTGGAACAGTTAATGTTTTTCGCACCTCACGAGCTGACTCCGTAATTGAAAGATAAGTTGATCAGACAATACACTTGTTTTTCTTTCTACTGATATAACCGTTGGTGTAGAACAATAAACATTGATAGATATTCCAGGAACTTTCATCAACATGTTATCAGCGTAAATATATCTGGCTCTAAGTTCGCGTCGGCTAAAAGTCATGAACTGGTTCGAACTTGAACTCTGTTAGAAAGCTTGCAACGTTCAGTCTTTTGAGTAGATTATTGAGCTCTAGACCATTTGGTCGTTTAGCACCCATCTCTGTCGATCACTGATTTCATTGCATCCATGAATTCGTGCAATCCTTGATTCGCTGTGTCTGGCGGATATTTGTGATGCCTCACATCTCACATCAACAAAATTTTTCATATTAAAGCTGGTCAAAAGTGTGTACATGATAAGGATTTGTGCAGATTATATTGTTACAACACTTTAGCACATCAATTTAGATTTGTAGTTTCTGAATCTGACGTAAACTTATTGAAACGCATATTTTTTTCATTTATTCATCTGAGAACACTTGAACTAATAGTGATTCTTTAAAACATCGAATAATGAGGAGTTAGCTAACTTGTTTTCCGACGTTCACGTTAAAACTTAAATAAGTTAGTAAAACAGTTATTACTTTATTCATTAAGATCAAATTTTTATTCGCTGAATTACAAACAAATTAAGCAAATAATCCCAAACACACTTATTTTGCATACACAAAATCTTCTTCAGATTATTGGCTGTAAACTCAGGTGATACAGGTTGTGGTGTGGATGATTATCCTGATCCAATGTTGATGTTTAGAGATGTGGCAGATTTGATAATTGGTCGTGAATTCGTGAACCAACGAGGTGATAATGGACACCGTATAACATTTGCGAAGACTAACATAGAGAAATTTTCTTCATATTCAGATTCTGATAAGGAGAAACTAGTATTGACGACGAGTACATCGGATACTCCAACATATTCAAATGTTGTTGAGCTTGCATCAACATTGTTACTACCAGGTATGCAAATGATATACTGACATCGCTTATTATTATTCACACTACTCATCACGTCACTGTACAAATCTTTATCAGAGCTTTTTATGTCCAGTCTTCGGATTCAAAGCACAAATTCTTTGAGCAACCATCAATCACTGAAAATGAGTTCATAGTAATCAGACAGTTCGCAATGGCATAGTTTGGTAACATTTTAGATTGACAAGAGACTGTATCAACAGATTTTGTGTGAAGTAGGGAACTGTTAGTTGTGAAGTTTGTGCTTCAGATGAAATTCGATAAACTAACGACTACTTGAACAAAAAGATGTCATAACTAATGATTATCGGAATACAGTTTGCCAATGTCTTAAGATCTGTCTAAAAAATATCTGTTTTACTTCTTCTGAATAGATATTTCGGCAGACATCATCTACAACATCAACATCATGATGAATGACTTTCGTATGTACTATTAGTACCTTGTTCTGTGAACATACCGGTTGTATTGAATATTTCATCATCAAATATAGTAAGAATTGTTCGACTTGTAAACACGCATTAGTCAGTCACTGAATCGATTACACAAGGAATAATGTTTACTTTATTCAACTATTCATTTGTATATTTTTCACTCATATTCGATTACATCTGTAGGAATACCAATCATTTATTATGGAACTGAGATTGGTATCGACCGCATGCAGACAATAATACTTCCAGAAAATATTTATCCAAAAAAGAAGTTCTACAATGATGATCCATTATTATGGCCTACATTATCTCATTTGCCAATGCCATGGGATTTAAGCGGGAAAAGATTTTCGGCAACTATAAATGATACCAGTTTTACTGACTATTTGAATAAATATGAAGAGTTGTCAGTAGTTGAAGTAAGTGATATGCTTGTGACTTTTATGCATTGATTCACTGAATACCATTTTTCGCAATATGTAATAACATCTGTTGAAACAGTTCGTTGAAATTCGTTGAAAAATGCAAATCAAGTGGTTATCAATCATGGTGGTATTTTGCTAATCGAATAATCATCTCCTTTGAACGTACGAACAGTGGTTATAGTTTCGAAAGTATACTCACAATAGAACAGTCAGAATTAGAGAGAGATGCAGCTATACATATTGCAACTTTTTTAAGATACAAAATCAGTAGAAAGAACAGAATACAATCGATATAGGCATCAATAAACTCCCGGAAATGAAACCTGAATTAATTTTATGAAGCAAACTCAATTCATATCTCTCGACAACTTGAAATGCTTGGTGAAATAGTGCTAATCTTTGAAAAATCAGTAAGTGGTAAAGGACTCCGTTCTCAATAATTTGGTCTTTCTATTTTATAAATATAGTTCTGTATTTAGTTACGCACAAGTCTTGTTTAGTAACGAACATGTTCCAGAAAATCGTAGAATTCGTTCACTGTATTAAGCATGCCAGATAACTGAACTTATTTTGAATGACAGAAAAGGTTGATTTGTATAGTACTGTTGAAATACTAACACTTTTACAAATCGCATTGAATACGACTAACTATTTTCATCCTTTCAAGGAACAACTTGCTGAGGGAAACAATCAATCAACTCTCCGTCTCGTGCAGAAATTGGTGGCTTTACGTCAGAAACCTAGTTTGAAATGGGGGGCAATGGAGAAATTAAATCTTGCTGAAGTAAGTGATTGCGAAGCTTAAAAACTGAACAAAAGTCTTCTTTCTAAGTAGATTTAACACTCACTGACTATGAGTTAATTTGATTATCCCTATTCGAACATCATGATTCTCACCAATAAACATGGCTGTGAGCCTATCTACATTTTGATTGTTTTGTTTCTTCGCATCGATTTTTCATCATGTATTCACTAAATAAGCACTTGGTTCAGACCATTATTTGAATGTATTCAATTATATCAAATGATTGTTCCATGAATAATTTAAGAAATGTTTCGTTCATTCATTTATTTAGTCGTTAGTTCATTTCAGCGTCATCAATTATTTTGAAGTAGGACCTTCACTTAAACAAACTATTCGTAACACGTGTTTAGTAAATACGTTTAAACATTGTTTCACTGATTGCATTTCAGAGATCTGCAACACTCATTGAAGCATTTGTTCGAAAGGCGAATGGATTTCCATCGTTCATCGTGGTGATAATGAAAGAATTAGGAGGGAGTTACTTCTTGGATCTTACTCCTGTTTGTTCATCAGTCACACCGAGAATACTATATCCTTCGCATCCTTATTTAACAGTGGACATACCATTATCAACTTCAAAAATACATATTCCAAGTGAAACTGTTTCAGATCACATTTCGGTGTTTGAATGTAACTAATTAAATAATCATTTAATCCACTTAGCCCAAATCAACATTTTCTCTTGATTCATATCTGACTATAGTTTGTTATTTGTACTTTGATTAACAATTTTTATCTAACTAACTTTTTTTTTTATTTTGTGATATAACCGATTTTCATGAAAAAAATATTTTCAGTGTATTGTGTATTCACTTTTATTGAGAAAATCTCTGACATGCCTGATGATGGTTTATTTCGTGCATGATCACTTAATGGCAAATCACTGTTTGTTTTTATATCAAATCGTTCAGTTCCATATGGTTATAAGTTGATTCATGAGGATTCGATAATACACACTGTTCAAATGTTTTGAAATAACTCTCCCTGGATTCGTTTCAAGTTAGGGTACATGTAAATGAATACTGCATTTCAATATGCAATGATCACTTTCATATAGGTAATCTGAGTAGAGTGTTAAAACTCAGTTAGTCTCCTACATGTTTCTTTGGTGGACGAAATATTCGCTCCAACAAATGTATGATTTCAATCCGATTATTCGCTTCGCATATGTACAGGTTTATATGTACATGGATGGTTCTTTCAAAAATGTCAATGTTCATTGATCGGAATATCAGTAATAATCAGTTGATGAATGATGAATTCCCAGCAACACTGAACATGAACAATGGGTCATAGCTAATCCCTACCCCAATTATAAACTGAAATACTGTATTCTGTAAAGATATCCTCCTACTATCTATACAAGCCTACAATGGAATAAAATTAAGTGAACATAATTTCAAAGTTGGTTAACTCTCTGTATACGCCTTTTGACATTCTAACATGCTAGAATAACAATTCATCATAGAGACCGAAACATGCTGACTAGGATCTCAAGCATTAGCTGGAATTATACCCTCACTTATTTACTATATCCTCAAACAATCTTCGTACCGATGCCATAGACGTATTTCATCAAATCACGTAGCTAGATCTGTTTGAACATCTGGAAATGTACAGGACTGTTCAGCCTAATGAAATATACATACCAATCAAATATCCTTTTAATTTAAGACAAAAGCTGAAACGCTAATTCGAGTGACGTCTTA